ATTTGTAACCTATGATGGTAGATTTATTTGAAAAATGGTATGTAATTTGGTAGATTATTAGTTATTTGATGGTAGATATATTTGGAAAAATGATATGTGGTTTGGTAAATTTATTAGCTATTTGATGGTAAATTTATTTAAAATCGATGTGGTTTGGTAGATTTATTAGTCATCTGATGATAGACTTATTTGTAAAACGATGTGGTTTGGTAGATTTATTAGTCATTTGATGGTAACTTATTTGAAAAATGATGTGTTTGGTAGTTTTATTAGTTATTTATGGTAGATTTATCAGTCGTATATATTTGAATTCTATATATGAAAGATGACATTTGTTTGTTTTTCTCTGACAGATTATAAGCTTTGCAAAGGCGAACAAGTCTCCGATAGGATATCCAGCATCGATCCGATGTGTTATACTATGAATTGTATATTTGTATTTGGTAGATTTGTTTTGAAATGATAGTAGATTTATTATTGAATTGATGGTATATCTATATTTGAATTTGCAAAAATGCTAATTAGTTTTTAAATGATGATATCTTTGTTTTCAAATTATATTTGTTGCAAAACATTGACCCAAACATTTCATCTTTTTACCACATTTGCTAGTAATGTCATTATTCAATCCAATTTATTTTCTTTACTTTCACTATGATAAATATCATAAGTGAATGAAATTTTAACCAAAACACATGACCAAAATAATTTGACATTGTGATGTTCAAGGCTTTATGTAAATAGAGTTAAATGTAACAAAATATTCACAAATAAAAATCAAAAGATCATAAGATGGTTATTACAGATAAAAATAAAAAGAAAATAAGATAAATGTTTAAGTAAACTAATAGGACATATATGTTCAAGGTTAATATGAAAAGCAAAGTTATATTAGAGAAAAGATATATCATAAAAAAATATTAATGTTAGAAATTTTTGACCACTGATTGTGGCGTCTATACCATAAAAACCAATAATCATCTGTGATCGAATCACAGTTAACCGGTGTAATCTCAGCAAACTCGTGCAAAGAAAACGTCAATAGTAACAAAACCAACTCAAATATAACCTTGGAACAAGCCTACCATACATACGAAACATGTTTAACATACGACACCCAAAACAAGTCTACCACACCTCTGGTTTTTTCGTAGATTGCAGAATACATTTAGGGACAAAAAAAGTAATTTCAATCTAAAAATTTCAAATGTCTACCAAACACATTTACAATTAAGTCTACCTCAAGCTTTGTGAATAATTTCTACCATAGAAACAAGTCTACCATCAAGCACCACATTTGTGTACCAGATCGAGGTTATCTGAGTAAATTACCAAAATTATTTTATCTACCACATGAAGTTCATTAGAAGTCTACCATACGTTCAATAACTCTACCAACTGCTTCTTAATCTACTAAAAAAACAAATAAATCTACCAACTTTCTATAAGTT